AAATCGTGTTGTGTTCCTCAATACATCTCCTACTCTCGATGTTCCTTAATGTTCCTCTGCTCTTCCCGGTGCCTGTCGATGCTGCTCCTTGCAGTTTGTATTTGGGGCGGAGACCAAGGACGTGCCGCGGCTGAGGGAGGAGCGCCGCACCTTCACCCCCTGCCGCAACTTCACTCGCGTTGTGGGGTGAGTGCCTGCTGCTGCTGTGCTGTGTGTGTGGTGCGATCGTCAATGGCAAAATTGTGGGATGGTGGGTGTGGGCCAGTGAGTGCTGCTGCCATGCTGTGCCTTGGGCTGCGCTGCAATGGTAAAATGATGAGGTTGTGAAGTGGTAAGATGGTGTGATGGTGTGTTGCCTACTCCCATGAGGCAGTTTTTTTTCATTGCTCCATGCCCTCCCTGCCTGGCTCTCTGTAGTTCCTCAATTGAAGCCCATCTTACGGCTCACCAATCAATCTCCTCTTCGCCTCTCATTCAAAAACTGTTATCCCTCCCTCCCTCTCCTCATCTTCCCCTCCCTCTCTCTCCCCCGCACCACAGCATGATCCGCAGTGGGTACTTCGGGTGGACGGAGTTCTTTGCGCCTCTCATGGACTCCATTGACGGCCCCGGCAACGACTACTACCTCCTTGCCAACGACTTCCCCACCTACCTGCAAGCCCAGGTGCGCTCTTCCCCACCTACCTGCAAGCAAGCCCAGGTGCACTCTTCCCCACCTACCTAAAATCATATGTATGCATCACCCTCAGCCTGCTCCTCTTCCTTTGCTACTCCCTACTTTCCCCATTCCTCCACTCCCCCCTTTTATTTCGCTACGTCAGTGAATCTATCACGGGCCACAGTCACTCTCCCTTCTCTCTGTGCTTCCCCTATACCCAACCCCTGGGAGGCTGCGATAGATGCAACGTATGTGGACATGCCCAAGTGGAGTGGACGCGCATGAGTATCAGTTCTGATCAATCCACCATCCTCAATCGCCCTCCACCTCTGCCGTCTTACCTTTCCCAGGCGGCCATAGATGCAACGTATGTGGACGTGCCCAAGTGGAGTGGTCGCACATGAGCATCAGCAGCGTGGCTGGCTGCTGACCTAACCACCCCTCATTCCCCTCTCCACATCTGCCCTTTTACCCTCTCACAGGCAGCCATAGATGCAACGTATGTGGACGTGCCCAAGTGGACGCGCATGAGCATCAGCAGCACGGCTGGGTGCGGGCGGTTCACTAGTGACCGCACGATCAAGGAGTATGCTGAGGAGATCTGGGACGTGGAGCCTGTCACCCGGCCGTACTGAAGCGTTAGACAGTTTCAAGAATGCTCGAAGTATCAAGTGCACGATCAAGGAGTATGCGGAGGAGATCTGGGACGTGCAGCAGCCTGTCACCCGGCCCTTATGAAGCGCTTTAGATGGGTTTCAAGAGTTCTCGGAGTATCATATCAAGCACACGACTAAGGAGTATGCCTAGGAGATCTGGGGTGTGAAGCCCGTCACCCGGCCCTTCTGAAGCGCTCCAGGTGGTTTTTCGAAAATGCCTTTACCGTAGTATCAAGCAGAGTCAAGGAGTATGCTGAGGAGGCTGGGACATGAAAGGCGGCTGCCTGGACTGAACCAATGCACCTTAGCTAGTGCCTGCCATTGTGCCACCCTACCGTATATCATACCTAAACCCTGATTTCCAAGACATGGAGACCAAGCATACCGTATGTGGACGGTCGGTTCCTTTGAGGCATATAAATTCCGTTATTACGGTATGTGCTGGTGCTACCGTATGGCCCCGGATATAGGCGCCGTCCGATTAAGGGCGCCGGCGCTTCTATCTGGAGCATGGCGCTTATGGCCGGAACTCGATTATAAGCGCCCCCCCTCTAGTAGGTGTACATTGTGAAAGCTTGCTTATTGCGACTTTGTAATAGGCATCGTGCTTCATTTCATCTGGGTAGAGTACATCAATCTCATCCAAAGGTCTACAACATGCAATTTCACTACATAGGGTGGGAGGGTGGGGAACTCAAACTAAAAATCTGAAAAGAAGAACGTGGGTGAGGCCGAATGGCCTCCAACCCCTCTTTTGTAGCCAAAAGAGGGCGAGTAGCGATGCGACGCTGCCTTTGCTGCGTTGGCAATCGCTTCACTATCACAATACAAAATTTTAGAAAGTGAGTATACTTTAAAAAAATATCATTTATTTTAAGCGCACCCTTTTCACGTTGTGGAGAACTTTTTACAAAAAAAAACATCTCTAATTAACATCATCACTGACAATTCTATCTAGCTACAGATTGCAAAGTTTAGCATCTCTACCTAGAAAATCTACTCCTCCTCGTCGGATTCGGGCTCCTGGCAGTTGTTCCCAAAGAAGCCATCGGCGATGATGGAGTAATCGACGTCCACCTCCGCGGTCAGCTGGCTCCGCCTGTGCGCCATGGCGAGGCCGTCCTCACTGCCGTCAAGCGCGTTGCTGATGCCACAGGTGAGGAAGGCGCGCTTGATGAGGTCAGCGGGCACTGCTTTCCAAGCCCGTGAGATCCACCTCACGACCACCTCTAGGGGTGGCTTCTTCAAGTTCCCTGTACCAACAGAATCACACAATATATAGTTAGCGCAACAAAAGGGGGGAAAATCATCTACGGTAAGATAGGGACTCGCGTGGCTACCGTACCTGCTCTGGTTAGCTGTTCTTGGCCTTCTTCCTGAAACCACTTCTGATACTGCTGGCGGACGCTCGCCTTAAAGCTCTTGTTGATGGAGACGTCGAGGGGCTGTACCTCCGCTGTGCAGCCAGACGGGATGATCGCCGGCACGCAGTTGAGCTCGCGAAACTTCTCCTTAACGGCCTCAGTGAGGTGACCGCGGTACGAGTCCAGTACGACCATCGAGCTCCGCGCATGCCTCCCGAACCCAGGCTTTAGAAAAGGCTTGACGCACTCCTCAAGCCATTGTATGACGCCGTTGGCGTCCATCCAGCCGTTCTCGTGACACGACACGACCACATCTGCATAACAAACAAGCTTCTGTAAGTCTCTTTAAAAACAGGACCGGTGTAAAGCAAACAAACAAGAATCATGACTCACCCGGCGGGAACACCCCTTTCAGCACGGTCTTCCGCTTGAAAAAAACCCACGGCCTCAGCTTCATCCCGTCCGCCGTGCACGCCAACATCACGGTCACGCGCTCCTTCTGGTACCCTGCGCTCCTGATGGGCACCGACCGAGCACCGGTTTGATTGACGGTAGTGGTGGCGGGCATCTCCAGCCACAGCGGCGTCTGGTCGGCGTTGATAATCCACGTCGTCTCGATGCCGCGCTCCCGACGCTTGTCACGGACGAATTGCCAGAACTTCTTGCATTGCTCCGCGACATCTGCGGTTGAGCACAGTTACGGTTACTGAGTAACAAGTGCATACACATGGCATAGAGAATAAAAATGATTCTTACGGGCGGCGGTTTTCTGGGGACCTTCGTCTTCATTCGCACGCTGAGTTTCCACCGCCGACGGAACTGGTCCGACCACCGTTGGCTCCCTTTCCACTTCACGAGGGGGTAGAGAATCTTCATGAACTCTCGGGACCACTCCTGCAGGCGGCCGACGGACACCGCGGTTCCCTTGCGTCGCCAGTCGAGCAGTCGCTCATACACCTTAATCTCCATCGGGCGGTACCACGATGCCCCGCTGCGACCGTGCATGCGGCACCTGGCAGAGTGGGCTTCCTTGAGGAAATCAGCGGCACGCTTCCAGTTGGCGAGGCACTTGCGGTGGATGCCACTCTCGCGAGCCAGAGCGCGCACCGACACCGCCACATCCAGCTGCGCGACCCACTTCAACTTCTCGGCGGCAGTATAGGCCTGACGCTTGTGGTCGTTGGGCTTGTGCCTGGGAGAGGGGGGGCGAGAATCACGGTTCTGTGAAGAAGGGTGAGGTCGCTTTCGATTATGTGGAGGATAAGTTGGTATTGGGAGTTTCTCGGGGAGGCCATCGCGTGACCAGTATTCGACGCCGTCGTCGTCGTCACCGCCCGGCGCACCCTCGGGAAACACATCCTCAGCAGTGCCGGCCTCGGTGTCGGCCTCAGTGCCACCCTCGGCGCCGGCGTCGCCCTCAGCGCGCCAACCTTCCTCGGCGTCTTGCACGTCGTCGACAGCGCCAACTGCAGATTCATCCCACGTGAAATCTTCTGGCTGGCCCCAACGTGGTGCTGGCGCTGGAGCGGGTACGTCAACATCGGGGCCCTTGTCATAATCCGGTTCCGACAGATACTCGTCGAACGCCGATGGGAGCAGGAGCGTGAGCACGGGGTGGTTGTCGATGTGAGGGGCCACCGGACACGGAGGAACAGGAGGAGCAGGGGGAGTCGGAGGCACTGGAGGAGCCGGAGGAGCAGGCGGCGCAGGAGGCTGTGGTGGCTCTGGAGGGTGTGGAGGTATGCGGCTATACCACCCGTCAGCTGTAACACGGTACGCGGGCCTACTAGAAGGTTTTTTCTTGAAGAGAAAATGAGTGCCTGTGAATTCCGCCATGGCTTCCGCAGCCAGGCGGGCGAGAAAAAGAAGACTGAATAAAAAACTGCACGCCTGGGTGTTGAAATGGGAGATTGAAGGGGACCCCTTCTGGTTTGCGGCTCGGGGTCCTCGTCGATGAGAGACGAGTACACCCCTGCCCTAACCCGCAGAGGAGGGTTGGGGGCACCATCCATGCTGCGCTGGCACGGCAGATTCCATCACGTTCTGGATGGTTCTCGGCAGAATAAGGAGCATCTCGGCAGAACCATCACAGGGGTCGTGCATGGTACAGTGTTGTATTCGCCTTATTCACGGCTTCAGAATGATATCCTTTACAGAGAAATTCATTTTTGCCTTAAATAAAAGCGCCGGCGCTTATGGCCGTTACTCAATTACAAGCGCCCCCCCTAAAAAATAATAATTTATTATAAGCGCATATGCGCTACCATCCGGGGTATTACGGTATTCCAGATCTTTTCACTGGTGGTGCAGCAGCATGAGAAACATTGACACAGGCTCAACATGAAGCAGTGCAACTCTATTAGCTAGCTTGGTCTATGCTATGCACACAGCGGATAAACGCGCAGAAATAAATAAAGCTTGCCACTACAGCTCCCCTGTGTACAGCTGAGGATTGCCCAGGTCAACTCTGAACAGATTCCAGTGTGAGTGCTGCTGCTGGTAGTCAGATTGGAGATTGATAGAAATGTGATGAGGACATAGGCTCCTCCCAGGCATTAGCTTCAGCTGACGCACCGGGGGGGACCAAGGAGCCTCTTTTCAAGCCCTGCTGCTCTCTCTGTGCGTGTCTGGTTGATGTGCTTGGGTCATCACATCAGCCCCCACTCAAGACGTGAACCAGCACCTGAAGTTCCACCTGAGCTCGTCAGCAGAAACAGAGAGCCACATGGGTAGGAGATGGGTGTGGGAAATACGAGGGTGAGAAAGGCAAAAGAGTGCAGAACGTTGGTTAGGAAGAGAGGGGGGACGCTTGAGAGGGAGAGAGCGACAAAAAGAGAGCTCACGTGGGAGTGCAAGGGGCTGATGAGGGAGAGGGCGAGGGTGTTCGAGCAGGAGAGAGTGAGAGAGTGAGAGAGCGAGAGAAAGGGAGCTCACATGCGAGTGAAGGGCGTTGGAGAGGGAGAGTGCGAGGCCGTTGGAGGGGTGGGGCAGGGCGGTGAAGAACCAGCTTTCTGCGAGATCCAAGTCATCGTTCAGCAGCAGCAGCTCGCCTCCTTCTGTTGCCTGCAGGAACTTCCCTCCCGCGAAGACTGACCGGCACCCCAGCAGATCCTGTGAGACGCGTGGAGGACATGGGGTATGGCATGGGATGGGGAGGGGTGGGGCAGGGGTGAAGAACCAGCTCTCTGCCAGATCCAAGTCGTCATTCACCAGCAGCAGCTCGCCCCATTCCGTGGCCTGTAGGAACTTCCCTCCTGCGAAGACTGACCGACAACCTAGGAGATCCTGCCGTATGGGACAGGGATGCATGAGGTGGGTTTGGAAAGTGTATTTTGAGGCGCCTCAAAATACATCCTGCGGTATGAGACAGGGATGATGAGGTGGGTTTGGATAGTGTATTTTGAGGCGCCTCAAAATACATCCTGCGGTATGGGACAGGGATGCATGAGGTGGGTTTGGATAGTGTATTTTGAGGCGCCTCAAAATACATCCTGCGGTATGGGACAGGGATGCATGAGGTGGGTTTGGATAGTGTATTTTGAGGCGCCTCAAAATACATCCTGCGGTATGGGACAGGGATGCATGAGGTGGGTTTGGATAGTGTGGTATGGGATGGGGGAGACAGGCGAGGTCCAAGTCGTCGTTCACCAGCAGCAGCTGCTCGCCGCCCTCCGTGGCCTGTAGGAACGTGCCCCCCCTTCAATGCAAACATTGACCAGCAGCAGCAGCTCACCGCCACCCCAGCAGATCCTGCACGTCATCTGGAAGAGGGGTTGGTATGGTGTGGAATGGGATCAGGAGGGAGCCGTGTGTGGTGCTCACCAGCAGCAGCTGCTCGCCGCCCTCCGGGGCCTGCAGTAGTTTTGAGACGTCTCAAAGCAGTAGAGGGGTGCGATGGGATGGGGAGGACGCATGTGAGGCGAAGTTGTTGCTCCGCAGAGGCAGCAGCTCCGCTCCACCCAACCACCCACCTTGTTGCACACTGACGGCAGCACCCACCCTACCATCTTGCCACACACTGTCAACAACACCACCTGCCCACCTTGTTGCCCACCTTGTTGCCCACCTTGTTGCCCACCTTGTTGCCCACCTTGTTGCCCACCTTGTTGCCCACCTTGTTGCCCACCTTGTTGCCCACCTTGTTGCCCACCTTGTTGCCCACCTTGTTGCCCACCTTGTTGCCCACCTTGTTGCCCACCTTGTTGCCCACCTTGTTGCCCACCTTGTTGCCCACCTTGTTGCCCACCTTGTTGCCCACCACCACCCACCCACCTTGTTGCCCACGTTGTTGCCCACCTTGTTGCCCACCTTGTTGCCCACCACCACCCACCCACCTTGTTGCCCACCTTGTTGCCCACCTTGTTGCCCACCTTGTTGCCCACCACCACCCACCCACCTTGTTGCCCACCTTGTTGCCCACCTTGTTGCCCACCTTGTTGCCCACCTTGTTGCCCACCTTGTTGCCCACCACCACCCACCCACCTTGTTGCCCACCTTGTTGCCCACCACCACCCACCCACCTTGTTGCCCACCACCACCCACCCACCTTGTTGCCCACCACCACCCACCCACCTTGTTGCCCACCACCACCCACCCACCTTGTTGCCCACCATCACCCACCCACCTTGTTGCCCACCACCACCCACCCACCTTGTTGCCCACCACCACCCACCCACCTTGTTGCCCACCACCACCCACCCACCTTGTTGCCCACCACCACCCACCCACCTTTTTGCCCACCACCACCCACCCACCTTATCGCACACGATCACAAACTGCACGCTCGGGTGCTGCGTGGAAATGCCCTCCACCGGAGCAAACCGCCATGACGCCCCCCCGTCGCGGCGCTTGGCGGCAAAGAGCGCCTTGGGGAAGGCGGCTGCGAAGGCTGCTGGGAGCAAGAGAGAGGAGGAGGAGGAGGAGGCGGAGGAGGAGGTGGAGGCGAGGGGCTGTAGGGCCACCAGCATGCCGTCTTGAAGGGGACAGTCCGGGAGATGCTGGTTTGGGGGGCCAAGGTGGGGGGGAGATCGGTGGGGCAGAGAGAGGAGGGGAAGTGTGAGCGGAGAGTGGAGGGGAGAGGAGAGGGGCTGTCGGGCGACTAGCATGCCGTCTTGAAGGGGACAGTCCGGGAGATGCTGGTTTGGGGGGCCAAGGTGGGGGGGAGATCGGTGGGGCAGAGAGAGGAGGGGAAGTGTGAGCGGAGAGTGGAGGGGAGAGGAGAGGGGCTGTCGGGCGACTAGCATGCCGTCTTGAAGGGGACAGTCCGGGAGATGCTGGTTTGGGGGGCCAAGGTGGGGGGGAGATCGGTGGGGCAGAGAGAGGAGGGGAAGTGTGAGCGGAGAGTGGAGGGGAGAGGAGAGGGGCTGTCGGGCGACTAGCATGCCGTCTTGAAGGGGACAGTCCCGGAGATGCTGGTTTGGGGGGCCAAGGTGGGGGGGAGATCGGTGGGGCAGAGAGAGGAGGGGAAGTGTGAGCGGAGAGTGGAGGGGAGAGGAGAGGGGCTGTCGGGCGACTAGCATGCCGTCTTGAAGGGGACAGTCCGGGAGATGCTGGTTTGGGGGGCCAAGGTGGGGGGGAGATCGGTGGGGCAGAGAGAGGAGGGGAAGTGTGAGCGGAGAGTGGAGGGGAGAGGAGAGGGGCTGTCGGGCGACTAGCATGCCGTCTTGAAGGGGACAGTCCCGGAGATTCTGGTTTGGGGGGCCAAGGTGGGGGGGAGATCGGTGGGGCAGAGAGAGGAGGGGAAGTGTGAGCGGAGAGTGGAGGGGAGAGGAGAGGGGCTGTCGGGCGACTAGCATGCCGTCTTGAAGGGGACAGTCCGGGAGATGCTGGTTTGGGGGGCCAAGGTGGGGGGGAGATCGGTGGGGCAGAGAGAGGAGGGGAAGTGTGAGCGGAGAGTGGAGGGGAGAGGAGAGGGGCTGTCGGGCGACTAGCATGCCGTCTTGAAGGGGACAGTCCCGGAGATTCTGGTTTGGGGGGCCAAGGTGGGGGGGAGATCGGTGGGGCAGAGAGAGGAGGGGAAGTGTGAGCGGAGAGTGGAGGGGAGAGGAGAGGGGCTGTCGGGCGACTAGCATGCCGTCTTGAAGGGGACAGTCCGGGAGATGCTGGTTTGGGGGGCCAAGGTGGGGGGGAGATCGGTGGGGCAGAGAGAGGATGGGAAGTGTGAGCGGAGAGTGGAGGGGAGAGGAGAGGGGCTGTCGGGCGACTAGCATGCCGTCTTGAAGGGGACAGTCCCGGAGATTCTGGTTTGGGTGCAGACTGGGTGGGGGAATGGTGGGGGGAGAATGAAGGAAGAGGTGAGAGGGAAAGAGGCGTGAGAGGAAACGAGAAGTGGGAGCGAAAGAGACGTGAGAGGGAAGGGGGGCATGAGAGGGAAAAGAGAGGAAAGAGGAGAGAGAGAGGAGGAAAAGTGTGAGAGGGGAATGGGAGGGAGCAGAGGGAAGACCCACCTTCTCTACAGAAGCTGTTAATGCGTCCGTCTGTGTGTCTCCCCTCCTCTCCCCCCCTTGCTTCTTTCCCCCAGACGATGCACTCTTGCTCCCATCTCCCCCACTCCTCCTTCCCTCCTCCGCTCGCCCTCCCCCTCCCCGTCCCGCTTTCTTCCCCCCCGTCCCACCACCACCATCACCACCATTCGCAGCACCACCAGCGCCGGAAACACCAGCAGCACCACCACGAGCAGCAGAAGAAGCAGGGAAGAGTGCGTGTAGCGCTTGCCATTGTGACTCCTCCTCCTCCTCCTCTTCCTCACCCTCCACCCCTCCGAACGAATCATCCAACACCAGCTCCTCAGGCACCTTGCCAGAGGTTAGGAACGCCCGAACCACCGCCACAGCCTTGGACTGAAGCGCCTCCCAAACCTCCTGGCTGTAGTCGGCACTCCGAGGCAAGATGAGGACGTTCGGGAACTCCCGAACCTGCGAGGGCGAGGCGAGGCGTGGCGGGTTGGGATGTAGGAGTGATGAGGGAAGGTCAATGGATGGCTGATTGTCTTTGAAGATTCTACCTGGAGTGCTTTGAGCGACTTTGAGATGCTTCAAAAGGTGCAATGGAGGAGTGAAGAGGGAAGGTGGGATGGATGATTGGCTCTGACCACCTCACCACAATGATTCACTCACCCGCGCCTCCAGCCACTGGTTGCCCTCAACGCCGTCCAGCGCACAGCTGAAGCCTACTTACTGCTTCCCACAGCCGCACCCACTCATCACAGCCTATCACCACATTAAACCATTCTACATACCCACATTACACTACTCCACTCACCCACGCCTCGAGCCACACTCACTCACCCACGCCTCCAGCCACTGGTTGCCCTCAATGCCGTCCAGCGCGCAGCTACCCAGGCGGCCGCTATTGAGTGCCCTCTTGATGGCGCTGTCGCTCACCAGGTGGCAGCTGCTCGCATTGATCAGCATGGCGCCTGGAGCAGAGGGAGGGGAGGGAGGAGAACAAGGGGTCACGGAGGGAGGACCTGCAGTCATCAACTGCACACTCGTCTTAATTGTTGCCACTCGTATCCAACTCCCGCCCCTCTCTGCCAGCCAGCTCTGCCAGCCTCACCTCCTCTCACATCCCTCCCACCGCGCACCTGTCACCTCTTCCCCGCCAGCCTGCCACCCCCCTCCCACTTCCCACCTCCCTCAAACCTCCCACCCCTCCCACCGCCATCGTCGCCCGCGCGCCGACCTTTCTTGAAGTGCTTGGCAGTGTCGTCGTTGATCAGGTGGAGCGTCGAATCAGTGAGCGCCACGTGGAGCGACACCACGTCACTGGCGGCCAGCACAGCTTCAACCGTGCTCCTCTCCGCCCCCACTGCCCGCATCAGCGCCGCCGCCCGCGGGGAGCGCTGCAGCTCCTGCTTTCGCAAGGGGGAATGTGGGGGGAAGGAAGAGGGGTTGGGGAAGGATGGGCGCGTGTAGGAAAGCGGCGCCTTTCCTGGTGCGCTCATCGTATCTCAAGTACCCTGTGCTTAAAACTACTCCTTAATCCGTCTACCCCACCACCTGCTCTGCGCACACCAGCGCAAGCGCCTCACCCCCTCGGGGTCGCAGAAGACGACGCGCATGCCGAACACGGCGGCTCTCCGCGCGACGGCGCGCGCAGCAGCGTTGGCGCCGACGAGCCCCAGCACCATCCCGCGCAGCCGCCGCATGCCCTGCCACGCGCCCTTGAACCCCGCGAACCAGCTCGCGCTCGTGCAGCCCTGGCGAAGCGGAGGGGGGGCGGGGGGCGGGGCCGGGGGAGGAGGGGAAGGGCAGGGTCGGTTGCGGCGGCGAGGGCAGGGGAAAGGTGGGGAAGAGGGAAGGCGAAAAGTTGGGTTTGGAGAATAAAAAGATGCGACATACGTGAAGTAAGGAAAACGAAGGTGAGGTAGAAAAAAGAGCAGAGAGCGCATGTGCGTGCGTCGGAGCGCCGTACCTGCGCCGCGAGAACGTGCGTGCGACGGAGCAGCCCGAGCATCAACGCCATCACGCTGTCCGCGACCTCGTCCGTGCGCGGCACGTCCACGTGGACCAATCGCAGGCCGAGCTCCTCCGCGAGCGACGACTCGACGGGGCGCGTGTCGGCGGACGACCCGAGGCACAGAATCAGCTGCGACGCGGAGAGCTTCCTCTGCGCGGCGCGCGGGAGGTAATGCAGCGAATGAACGAGCACCACGTCAGCGCGTTCCAGCTTGTCGAGCATGCCCTCGCTGAGCCCGACATTCTCGAGGACGCAGAGGTCCGCGAGCGCCTCGGCTTGCGCGTGGCAGCCCTCCATGCAGTTTAAAGCCACCACGTATGGCAGGCTGTTGGGAGGAGCTGTTAGGACCGCCATTGCGACGACGCGCGTTGCTAAGAGTAATTGTTAGAGGTTTCGATCAGTAGCGTTTTAGAAGACTTGAAAGGTAGGTGACGCGCAGTTGCGCTACGACGAGCCCGACGCGCGAGAATGGGACGCGGCGAAGGTGACCAGTGCGACTGCGCGAACTGCTATGGGAAAAGAGGAAATGTGGTAACTAGTTATGCTTCAGCGGCCAGGGCAATGTTATCGGTGTGCGATCTTGAAAATAAAAGCTGGTCCCTAGGTTCTTTGGAAGCCGCATGGAACGCCTAAGGGACACGATTAATGGCCAAGGCTCCTCACTGGTCCCACGCAACTAATGTAGGACCCAAAATCAACTGGCATCGGGAACGCTGCGTGGTACAAAGAAAACCAACTTCAGTCTTGAAAAAATAGGCAATTAGTTTCTCGTTTCTGGAAGGGCTATTTGACATGGTGATTGTCGTCGCACGGTCCCATCCCAAAGCGCTGATGCTGGGCAACTGTTTCTGGAGTTGTTGTGAGATCGCAGAGAGTCGCTAAGGACCCGCCAAGAGGGGCAATCAAGAGATTTGCGAGAGGAACTGCTGAGTTCGTGAGTTTTCGTCAACTATGCGAAGCTTCGGTTGGGTTCACGTATCTGCGATCTGGTTGGCGGACTCTCTGATGCGATGCGACACGATGTGGAACTCAGATGTAACGCCATCTGCCTACGACCCACGCTTTGGCTTTCGTGCATCAGATCGCAACGACTTGTAACAGCTCTCGTGACATTTGTTCCCCTGAATCCTGCGAACAACAAACCCCATTCTGCACCAGACAACTGTTAGGCGCAAATTTGAAGGCGCCATTTCATCTTACAGGCGCCATTATTCAAGCAAAGCGCCAAGCGAGCGGGCGGGCAAAACGCTCATGAAGCATGTAGGGATTTTTCTGGAAGTCGTGTAGGCCACATCGTCCGTTAGGTTTTGATCCAACTGGGGCAGACCGTGGCATGGATAGCAGTGACAGCATCCACTCAGGCGGGGTGCAAGGATCACCTCCGTTACAATCACCCGCTGGAATGATGGAGGTGATCGCCTTCCGCCCATATCGCATGTGCGCCCCGGTGTATTCTGTGTCGACTCGAACCGCCCCAGCCATCCACTCGAATCATTCTGTGTCTGTCGTATCGATGATTCTCGGGTTCAATCAACTCAAACTCTCTGGCTTTCTAGGAGCATGCTGACTTTTGAGACGTCTCAAAAGGCTTTCTAGGAGCATGCTGATATTTAGATGAAAATCATTCACTGACATGCCGCCTGTCCACGCGCCCGCCAACAGATGCTGAACGACGCGGAACGAAGCGCCATGGGCGCAGCAGACGCTGTGAAGCAACTATTGGACGCTCTGCGAGGGCATCTCAAAGAGGTGCGTGCGTTCCTCTTGCCAGTCACCTCAATCTGAGCATGGTTGACTTTTGAGTCGTCTCAAAAGTGAGCGGCGTACACTGTGAAGCAACTATTGGACGCTCTGAGAGGGCATCTCAGAGAGGTGCGTGCATGCCTTTTTGAGTCAACTCAGATTAGTTTGTCGGAAATATCACCACACTTGTGCGGCCTCCTTCAAATAACTCTAATTTATTTGTCGCAACGTTACGCTGGGCGATTGAGCCGTGATGCAGGTGACGAGCAACACATTGGCGCACGTGGAGGTGGAGCGAGATGCTGCCACGCGCCTGCAGGGCGCAGGTGCGTGGTTGGTTAGGTGGGTAAATGAATGGATGCTTAGATGAACGTGTTGCATGGGGCATGAACGTGTTGCATGTGGCATGGCTGCGGTTTGGTCCCTTCACTCCAAGGCTATTCTTGTTCCCACCTCTGCCCATTCGTGGCAGCAATGGAGGCAGCTAACAGAGGAATGAGGTTCATCAATGCATGCATGAGGTGAGCATGGGGTGAGCATGGGGTGAGCATGAGGTGAGCATGGGGTGAATATGCATGAGGTGAGCATGGGGTGAGCATGGGGTGAGCATGGGGTGAGCATGGGGTGAGCATGGGGTGAATATGCATGAGGTGAGCATGGGGTGAGCATGGGGTGAGCATGGGGTGAATATGCATGGGGTGAGCATGGGGTGAGCATGGGGTGAATATGCATGAGGTGAGCATGGGGTGAGCATGGGGTGAGCATGGGGTGAATATGCATGAGGTGAGCATGGGGTGAATATGCATGAGGTGAGCATGGGGTGAGCATGGGGTGAGCATGGGGTGAATATGCATGAGGTGAGCATGGGGTGAGCATGGGGTGAATATGCATGAGGTGAGCATGGGGTGAGCATGGGGTGAGCATGGGGTGAATATGCATGAGGTGAGCATGGGGTGAGCATGGGGTGAGCATGGGGTGAGCATGGGGTGAGCATGGGGTGAATATGCATGAGGTGAGCATGGGGTGAGCATGGGGTGAATATGCATGAGGTGAGCATGGGGTGAATATGCATGAGGTGAGCATGGGGTGAGCATGGGGTGAGCATGGGGTGAATATGCATGAGGTGAGCATGGGGTGAATATGCATGAGGTGAGCATGGGGTGAGCATGGGGTGAGCATGGGGTGAGCATGGGGTGAGCATGGGGTGAATATGCATGAGGTGAGCATGGGGTGAATATGCATGAGGTGAGCATGGGGTGAGCATGGGGTGAATATGCATGAGGTGAGCATGGGGTGAGCATGGGGTGAGCATGGGGTGAATATGCATGAGGTGAGCATGGGGTGAGCATGGGGTGAATATGCATGAGGTGAGCATGGGGTGAGCATGGGGTGAGCATGGGGTGAGCATGGGGTGAATATGCATGGGGTGAGCATGGGGTGAATATGCATGAGGTGAGCATGGGGTGAGCATGGGGTGAGCATGGGGTGAATATGCATGAGGTGAGCATGGGGTGAGCATGGGGTGAGCATGGGGTGAATATGCATGAGGTGAGCATGGGGTGAATATGCATGAGGTGACCATGGGGTGAATATGCATGAGGTGAGCATGGGGTGAATATGCATGAGGTGAGCATGGGGTGAATATGCATGAGGTGAGCATGGGGTGAATATGCATGAGGTGAGCATGGGGTGAGCATGGGGTGAATATGCATGAGGTGAGCATGGGGTGAGCATGCATGGGGTGGGCATGCATGGGGTGGGCATGCATGCGGTGAGCATGCATGGAGGGTCGCACCCACCATAGTTGGACCTCGGCTTACATGTGTCAAGGAATGTTGACGAATGAGCTTCAGTGCTTGCATTGTGCGGCATGCAGGATGAATGAAGAATTGCAGCAACTGCCACACCTCAATGCACAAGTGTGAGTCCGCTCCTTCACCTTCCCTCTGGTTATTCTTCTCCTGCCACTCTTCTCTTGGGGCTTCCCCCCCATCTCCGTCTCCCTTGGACCATTTTTTCTGCTGACTTTGCTGTGCGAATCTTGATTGGTTGGTTGTGTCTGGCAGCAAGGAGTTGAGCCGCAAAGTGGATGAATTCGAGTCCCAGCTGAACAGACTCCTTCCGCGCTAACTGCCAACTGTTAGTGGATGTTGGCATGTACATATGCTTTGAAGATTATTGCTTTGTGATACCTGTACTGGCCACCATACCATTGAGTAATGTTTGCTTGTTCTACAGTATTGTTGTTAGGTTCTTGAGGAATGAAGGTGGGTTTACACGCCTTTCTATTGCTTGTATAAATAACGGAATAACTGCTATCGAACCCGCAAGAAGTGGATGAGACGCGTCCAATTGGCTGCCGAGAGTTTCGCCACGTCACCACCACATTGCTCGCTTTTCCCTTTCTTCCAACACCCAAGCGACAGCTGCGCGCGATAAACAAGGAGCTCCTACGACCAAAATTGGCTGCGAGCTGTCAGTCACTTTGCAGGCTGAGTGAGCGACTCCGCACTTTCTCCTCGTCGTTCAGAATATATCGGCGGTGTAGTAGGCGCTCCGCACGAGCCGCCATGGCGTGCGGGCTGCTGACCCCGTGCATTCCGATTCCTCGGGAACTCCTCGCGTTGCCCGCCGCCGCGTCGGGTCGAGGCCTGATCCGCCGATATGCTGGCGCCGTAACTCCCGCGCCCTTCACGCAGCGCACTCTCACCATCTCTCGCACCGCATTCCCTGCCGTAGGCGATCGCTCTGACAGCGTCGCGAAATGCGCTCGGGTCGCGAGCCGTTTCAGGCAACCGTACAGATATATGTCGTTGTCTTCGCCATTCTGGCCGAAATCGTCGTCTGCGTCGATCTCGTCCGTCCGATTGTCATCCCTACGGTCCACATTCGCCCACGTGTCAAACCAGCCCGCGCCGTGCCGCATGAGCAGGAACGCCCGCGTTCTTTGCTCCGCCGCCGCAAGCGACGGCGGCGGCAGCAGCAGCAGCAGCACGGCAGTGGATACAGCAGTCGCTCCCGCAACAGCGCCGGCAACCGCCGGCGCGCCGCCAGCGCAGACGGGTAGCCGGCAGTCGACCGCCTATCCGTTCACGGAGATCGAGGCGAAGTGGCAGGCGCAGTGGGAGGAGAAGGCGACGTTCCGCACGCCGGATGACGTGGACACGAGCAAACCCAAATACTACGTCCTCGACATGTTCCCCTACCCCAGGTGCGCCCTACCCCAGGTAGGACATGTTCCCCTACCCCAGGTGGGACAGGTAGCATGATAGTACCTTAGCTGCTGCACTCATAGACTCAGAGTACTCATAGACTCATAGGCTCTCTCCACGTTCCACGCTCCCCCGCTCACCCCTCTTCCCCACTCACTTTTCCCTCCGCCTCTACCAGCGGTGCAGGGCTGCACGTAGGGCTCCCGGAGGGCTACACGGCGACGGACATCACGCTACCCCATCCGTGCCGCCCTCCACCATCCGCTAACCCGCTCCCCTCCCCACAAACCCCCCTATCCCCCGCACCCCCCAACCAGCGGCGCAGGGCTGCACGTGGGGCACCCCGAGAGCTACACAGCGTCGGACATAGTGGCGCGGTACAAGCAGTACCCCATTCCCGCCTCCCTCCAACCCTCTCTACCCCCCAACCCCCTGCCCTCTCATCTCACACACACCCTTCTTCCCCCTTTTTACCTTACCAGCGGCGCAGGGCTGCACGTGGGGCACCCGGAGGGCTACACAGCAACGGACATAGTGGCGCGGTACAAGCGCATGCGGGGCTTTAACGTGCTGCACCCCATGGGGTGGGACGCCTTTGGTCTGCCCGCCGAGCAGTACGCTATTGAGGTGAGACGTGGAAGTGAGAGAGGACGTGGGGACGTGAAGAGCAAGCGAGTGGGGCAGTGAGGTGGGGCAGGGAGGTGGGGCAGGGAGGTGGGGCAGGGAGGTGGTGCACCCATGGGGCTGGCTGGGATGCCTTTGGGCTGCCCACAGAGAAGTACGCGATAGAGATGAGGGTGGAGGTTCCACTGCCGTGCTGTGCTTCTCTGCTGCACTGCACCGCACCGCACTGCACTGCACCACACGCTCTCATCTCATGTTCTCTCAGCATCATCGACTTGTTGGGATGTGCTCCACGTAGTCACATAATTTTCTTCCTCTTGTTTCCCACACTTCTCTTCATTCCCACCTCTCGTCTCGTTCTCTCCCTTCTTTTCACCGTTTTCTCGTTTTCACGTTATGCCATCCCTCCCTCCCTCCGCATGCCATCAGACCGGCACACATCCACGGGTGACAACGGAGCGCAACATTGGACGGTTCAGATCGCAGGTGAGAGTGCAGATGGGCACATGTGAGTATGTGCCTTGTATCTTCATGCATGCCTCTTTAGCAACGCATTGTGCTAGAGTTCCCACCCCCCATTAAATCCATCCCATTCCACCACCCCCCTCCACTCCTCCCTCCACTCTCCGCTCTCCTTTCACCACATCCCCGTCCCGTCCCTCCTTCCTCCCTTTCCCCCCATTCCAGCTAAAGGCGCTGGGATTCTTGTATGACTGGCAGTGCGAGGTGGCGACCACAGACCCAACCCGACTACTACAGCTGGACACAGTGGAACTCATTTGAAGCGCCGCAACAAGTCGTTCCTCTCTCCTTCCACCCTTCACACACACACCCCGCCTCCCCAACACACAACACCACCACCCACCCCCTGCAGCTGAAGGCGTTGGGGTTCTCATACGACTGGCAGAGGGAGGTCTCAACAACTGACCCCGACTACTACCGCTGGACTCAGTGGATCTTCCTGCAGATCCTCAACCGAGGCCTCGCATACCAGGTGTGGGTTGTGTGTGTGTGAAACTGGTGGTGAGCCACGAGTTCTAACACATGTTTCGAGCAGCAGACAGACACACGTGCACCGCCGCCATTACCGCTGGACGCAGTGGATCTTCCTGCAAATCCTCAACCAAGGCCTTGCGTACCAGGTGCGCTTCACGTCAGCTGGTTACCAGGATACCAGGTCAAAAACTAGTAAAAATAGTTTGGGTTGCCTCTGCTGTAAAAATGGCCGTGCAATGGTTTGGGTTGCCTCTGCTGTAAAAATGGCCGTGCAATGGTTTGGGTTGCCTCTGCTGTAAAAATGGCCGTGCAATGGTTTGGGTTGCCTCTGCTGTAAAAATGGCCGTGCAATGGTTTGGGTTGCCTCTGCTGTAAAAATGGCCGTGCAATGGTTTGGGTTGCCTCTGCTGTAAAAATGGCCGTGCAATGGTTTGGGTTGCCTCTGCTGTAAAAATGGCCGTGCAATGGTTTGGGTTGCCTCTGCTGTAAAAATGGCCGTGCAATGGTTTGGGTTGCCTCTGCTGTAAAAATGGCCGTGCAATGGTTTGGGTTGCCTCTGCTGTAAAAATGGCCGTGCAATGGTTTGGGTTGCCTCTGCTGTAAAAATGGCCGTGCAATGGTTTGGGTTGCCTCTGCTGTAAAAATGGCCGTGCAATGGTTTGGGTTGCCTCTGCTGTAAAAATGGCCGTGCAATGGTTTGGGTTGCCTCTGCTGTAAAAATGGCCGTGCAATGGTTTGGGTTGCCTCTGCTGTAAAAATGGCCGTGCAATGGTTTGGGTTGCCTCTGCTGTAAAAATGGCCGTGCAATGGTTTGGGTTGCCTCTGCTGTAAAAATGGCCGTGCAATGGTTTGGGTTGCCTCTGCTGTAAAAATGGCCGTGCAATGGTTTGGGTTGCCTCTGCTGTAAAAATGGCCGTGCAATGGTTTGGGTTGCCTCTGCTGTAAAAATGGCCGTGCAATGGTTTGGGTTGCCTCTGCTGTAAAAATGGCCGTGCAATGGTTTGGGTTGCCTCTGCTGTAAAAATGGCCGTGCAATGGTTTGGGTTGCCTCTGCTGTAAAAATGGCCGTGCAATGGTTTGGGTTGCCTCTGCTGTAAAAATGGCCGTGCAATGGTTTGGGTTGCCTCTGCTGTAAAAATGGCCGTGCAATGGTTTGGGTTGCCTCTGCTGTAAAAATGGCCGTGCAATGGTTTGGGTTGCCTCTGCTGTAAAAATGGCCGTGCAATGGTTTGGGTTGCCTCTGCTGTAAAAATGGCCGTGCAATGGTTTGGGTTGCCTCTGCTGTAAAAATGGCCGTGCAATGGTTTGGGTTGCCTCTGCTGTAAAAATGGCCGTGCAATGGTTTGGGTTGCCTCTGCTGTAAAAATGGCCGTGCAATGGTTTGGGTTGCCTCTGCTGTAAAAATGGCCGTGCAATGGTTTGGGTTGCCTCTGCTGTAAAAATGGCCGTGCAATGGTTTGGGTTGCCTCTGCTGTAAAAATGGCCGTGCAATGGTTTGGGTTGCCTCTGCTGTAAAAATGGCCGTGCAATGGTTTGGGTTGCCTCTGCTGTAAAAATGGCCGTGCAATGGTTTGGGTTGCCTCTGCTGTAAAAATGGCCGTGCAATGGTTTGGGTTGCCTCTGCTGTAAAAATGGCCGTGCAATGGTTTGGGTTGCCTCTGCTGTAAAAATGGCCGTGCAATGGTTTGGGTTGCCTCTGCTGTAAAAATGGCCGTGCAATGGTTTGGGTTGCCTCTGCTGTAAAAATGGCCGTGCAATGGTTTGGGTTGCCTCTGCTGTAAAAATGGCCGTGCAATGGTTTGGGTTGCCTCTGCTGTAAAAATGGCCGTGCAATGGTTTGGGTTGCCTCTGCTGTAAAAATGGCCGTGCAATGGTTTGGGTTGCCTCTGCTGTAAAAATGGCCGTGCAATGGTTTGGGTTGCCTCTGCTGTAAAAATGGCCGTGCAATGGTTTGGGTTGCCTCTGCTGTAAAAATGGCCGTGCAATGGTTTGGGTTGCCTCTGCTGTAAAAATGGCCGTGCAATGGTTTGGGTTGCCTCTGCTGTAAAAATGGCCGTGCAATGGTTTGGGTTGCCTCTGCTGTAAAAATGGCCGTGCAATGGTTTGGGTTGCCTCTGCTGTAAAAATGGCCGTGCAATGGTTTGGGTTGCCTCTGCTGTAAAAATGGCCGTGCAATGGTTTGGGTTGCCTCTGCTGTAAAAATGGCCGTGCAATGGTTTGGGTTGCCTCTGCTGTAAAAATGGCCGTGCAATGGTTTGGGTTGCCTCTGCTGTAAAAATGGCCGTGCAATGGTTTGGGTTGCCTCTGCTGTAAAAATGGCCGTGCAATGGTTTGGGTTGCCTCTGCTGTAAAAATGGCCGTGCAATGGTTTGGGTTGCCTCTGCTGTAAAAATGGCCGTGCAATGGTTTGGGTTGCCTCTGCTGTAAAAATGGCCGTGCAATGGTTTGGGTTGCCTCTGCTGTAAAAATGGCCGTGCAATGGTTTGGGTTGCCTCTGCTGTAAAAATGGCCGTGCAATGGTTTGGGTTGCCTCTGCTGTAAAAATGGCCGTGCAATGGTTTGGGTTGCCTCTGCTGTAAAAATGGCCGTGCAATGGTTTGGGTTGCCTCTGCTGTAAAAATGGCCGTGCAATGGTTTGGGTTGCCTCTGCTGTAAAAATGGCCGTGCAATGGTTTGGGTTGCCTCTGCTGTAAAAATGGCCGTGCAATGGTTTGGGTTGCCTCTGCTGTAAAAATGGCCGTGCAATGGTTTGGGTTGCCTCTGCTGTAAAAATGGCCGTGCAATGGTTTGGGTTGCCTCTGCTGTAAAAATGGCCGTGCAATGGTTTGGGTTGCCTCTGCTGTAAAAATGGCCGTGCAATGGTTTGGGTTGCCTCTGCTGTAAAAATGGCCGTGCAATGGTTTGGGTTGCCTCTGCTGTAAAAATGGCCGTGCAATGGTTTGGGTTGCCTCTGCTGTAAAAATGGCCGTGCAATGGTTTGGGTTGCCTCTGCTGTAAAAATGGCCGTGCAATGGTTTGGGTTGCCTCTGCTGTAAAAATGGCCGTGCAATGGTTTGGGTTGCCTCTGCTGTAAAAATGGCCGTGCAATGGTTTGGGTTGCCTCTGCTGTAAAAATGGCCGTGCAATGGTTTGGGTTGCCTCTGCTGTAAAAATGGCCGTGCAATGGTTTGGGTTGCCTCTGCTGTAAAAATGGCCGTGCAATGGTTTGGGTTGCCTCTGCTGTAAAAATGGCCGTGCAATGGTTTGGGTTGCCTCTGCTGTAAAAATGGCCGTGCAATGGTTTGGGTTGCCTCTGCTGTAAAAATGGCCGTGCAATGGTTTGGGTTGCCTCTGCTGTAAAAATGGCCGTGCAATGGTTTGGGTTGCCTCTGCTGTAAAAATGGCCGTGCAATGGTTTGGGTTGCCTCTGCTGTAAAAATGGCCGTGCAATGGTTTGGGTTGCCTCTGCTGTAAAAATGGCCGTGCAATGGTTTGGGTTGCCTCTGCTGTAAAAATGGCCGTGCAATGGTTTGGGTTGCCTCTGCTGTAAAAATGGCCGTGCAATGGTTTGGGTTGCCTCTGCTGTAAAAATGGCCGTGCAATGGTTTGGGTTGCCTCTGCTGTAAAAATGGCCGTGCAATGGTTTGGGTTGCCTCTGCTGTAAAAATGGCCGTGCAATGGTTTGGGTTGCCTCTGCTGTAAAAATGGCCGTGCAATGGTTTGGGTTGCCTCTGCTGTAAAAATGGCCGTGCAATGGTTTGGGTTGCCTCTGCTGTAAAAATGGCCGTGCAATGGTTTGGGTTGCCTCTGCTGTAAAAATGGCCGTGCAATGGTTTGGGTTGCCTCTGCTGTAAAAATGGCCGTGCAATGGTTTGGGTTGCCTCTGCTGTAAAAATGGCCGTGCAATGGTTTGGGTTGCCTCTGCTGTAAAAATGGCCGTGCAATGGTTTGGGTTGCCTCTGCTGTAAAAATGGCCGTGCAATGGTTTGGGTTGCCTCTGCTGTAAAAATGGCCGTGCAATGGTTTGGGTTGCCTCTGCTGTAAAAATGGCCGTGCAATGGTTTGGGTTGCCTCTGCTGTAAAAATGGCCGTGCAATGGTTTGGGTTGCCTCTGCTGTAAAAATGGCCGTGCAATGGTTTGGGTTGCCTCTGCTGTAAAAATGGCCGTGCAATGGTTTGGGTTGCCTCTGCTGTAAAAATGGCCGTGCAATGGTTTGGGTTGCCTCTGCTGTAAAAATGGCCGTGCAATGGTTTGGGTTGCCTCTGCTGTAAAAATGGCCGTGCAATGGTTTGGGTTGCCTCTGCTGTAAAAATGGCCGTGCAATGGTTTGGGTTGCCTCTGCTGTAAAAATGGCCGTGCAATGGTTTGGGTTGCCTCTGCTGTAAAAATGGCCGTGCAATGGTTTGGGTTGCCTCTGCTGTAAAAATGGCCGTGCAATGGTTTGGGTTGCCTCTGCTGTAAAAATGGCCGTGCAATGGTTTGGGTTGCCTCTGCTGTAAAAATGGCCGTGCAATGGTTTGGGTTGCCTCTGCTGTAAAAATGGCCGTGCAATGGTTTGGGTTGCCTCTGCTGTAAAAATGGCCGTGCAATGGTTTGGGTTGCCTCTGCTGTAAAAATGGCCGTGCAATGGTTTGGGTTGCCTCTGCTGTAAAAATGGCCGTGCAATGGTTTGGGTTGCCTCTGCTGTAAAAATGGCCGTGCAATGGTTTGGGTTGCCTCTGCTGTAAAAATGGCCGTGCAATGGTTTGGGTTGCCTCTGCTGTAAAAATGGCCGTGCAATGGTTTGGGTTGCCTCTGCTGTAAAAAT